CTTCGCCTGGCTTCTCTGTGAAGAACAGACTGGAGGGCAGGTGGGTCACAGGAGGGTGGGTGTAGGAAGACACACAGGAAGCTGTTGCAAGGGGTAGGCAACAAGTGCTGGCGGAAGACCAGAGTGATAAGAAGTGGTAGGGTTCTGGATACGTTTTAAAGGTAAAGCCAGTATTATTTGCCCACAAATGGAAGTTTGAGAGAAAAAATATAGTCAAAGATGGCTCCAAGGTGTTTGGCCTAACTGGTTGAAGATGCTGAACTGGGGAAGAAGCAGGGGAGAGGGCTGGTGGGAATTCTTTTCCCAGTGACAGGCCTGAGGACTGGTAGTCCCGGGGGAGGGCCTTGCTCCACTCTGGGCTCCCCCTATCTTCTCATTTCTTTATCTCTGTAGGGTCTCGAGCCAGTGGGGGTTCCCAGCACAACCTTCCACCTACTCCTAGAGCCCAATCCATCAATAACCCTCCTTTCACTCTGTTTCTCTTTCCCTGTAACTGCCACCTTCTACCAAATGCTCACAGTGCATTTTGTGTACTTTTTATGCTGTATCTTGCTTCGTCTTTGCAAAACTGTGGTCTCAAGGTTCCAGTAATGAGCCCAGAGACATATATCTAGGGATTGGCAAGGCCAGGATGCACACCCAGGCCTGTCTGGTTCCAAAGCCCACCACCAGGATACCACACAATCTCCAACCTGGAAATGGCCCCAGAAACACCACCCCCTCCTGGAGCACCCATCCTTCTCCAGCACTTCACCTCTCTTCTGGTAAGAGTCACTCTCAACTGCTGTCCTCTCTTGGATGGGATGCCCAGACACCCCCAGACTCCTCTGGGCCTTCCTTTCTCAGGAAGAAAGTTAACCAGGATCCTGGTGCCATGTGATCTTTTCTTCTTCCAACTCCTGCCAGACCCTGAGACTTTTCACTGTCTTTTCCCACAAGGGAGGGAAAGGCAGCTTGTTTGGAGAGATCCGAAGGGTTTCTGGCATTAGGACCAAACTGCCTCCAGCCCAGGCTCCTGCCATTAGATAACAGAAGCACAACCACAGAAGCCCAGACCCTGGCGGCTGGCCAGTTCCCTAGAATGTCTTATCTTCTAACTTACCTTGCGTGAGCATGGATGCCAGAAGCCTTGGGCTTCCGAGGTGAGAAGCATTTTGATTCCCTGTGCCACCTTCCTGCATCCTCATGGGGCTCTGAGAAGGTAGCATGGGAGGATGGGGAAACAAAGGCTCAGAGCTTTCCATAATGTCTCAGTTACCCAACTAGTTGGTCACTTACTTATACCCTAAATCCAGGTGTCCTATGTTGCCCCCCATCCCCAGCCTGGAATATCCAGGCCTCAGGCTCTCCAAGTTTGTTAAAGAAAAACAAGAAACTGAGGCCAACTGTGTGTCCTCTGCAGCCAAGGTTCCACCACGCTTCTCAGCCAGCAAGGAGAGGTTTTTTTTGCTCTTGTGCAGGTAATTGCCTGTAGAATTCTTTCTGCTGCCTGCCCTGTGAGTATTTGCCTGGAAAGTACCATCTGCTGTCAGTTACCTGTCTGTCAAAGCTGCTACTCCCTTCCCCAGGGTATTTTTCTATGCAAGCTGACACTTATCCTGACCAGTAAAAGTATCCACTGGGCCAAACACCTTCCCGCCTCACCCCACTGAGGGCACAGAGGACCTGCTTGATCAGACTTGCAGAGACCTGAGGAGCAAATGGATTCAGCTGGCATCTAGAGTGGGAGCAGGAGATTCAGAGAGCCAATTTAGATGATGTCCCAGCAGACGAGAAGTCAGGAGACATGTTCTGAGATGAGACCCAAAGTGAGGCGGCTGTCAGCACAGCCCGCAGTCTGACACTGGCTGTGCCATAAGGCCTGGCTTCCCTCATTCTGCTGCTGTTGAAACAGTGAGAACCTTCCAGCTGTGGTCCCAGCTGTCAATGTGTGTCTCTTCACGCAAGTCTTATAAAGGCCTCTACCTGCCCCTTATACTTTGTTAGTTGCAAAAGAAACAGTGCCCCCAAGCTGAGGGGAGTCTGTTGAGGAGGACATTACCTGGGCATTCTTTTTTCTGCAAAGTCTGAATTTTGGACTCAGCAGCTCTGCAGTGAAATACTGGCTCTGACGCTTACCAGCTGGGAGACCAGAACGAGTCACTACAATTATTTAAGCCTCAGCTTCCTTATGTGCAGAGTAAGATTTTACGGCCATCCTCACAGGCCTCCTGGAGGTTGCAGGGATCCTGGTGTACTGCTTCACCCAGGGGCCGGCACACAGTAGGTGCATTAGACAGAAGCTGTCATTCTCCACATCACCAGAAGGGTGACAGAGGTGGCATTGCTGCCTCTCTGATGCTGGGACATGCCGTTCTCTGCCTGCCCTCCAGGACCACAGCTGAGTCCCTGAAAGATGGCGTGAGAATAATAATTCTTCCCTCCTGTGGTGAAGGGGCCTGCTGCTCATGTGTGCTCACCCTTCTGATGGAGACTTGCCACATCAACACGAGGCTTCATTTGTTAAAACTGGGGAACAAAAATTAACTCCATCACAATACCACCTACAGCAGTCTACTCTGTCCTTTTCACCCACACTCAAGACTTTTGTGGTGTTTCAGTGATGGGGGATTGGTTGCCAACCTTCTTGTTCCCCTTTGGGCAGGAGAGCTGAGCTCTCCAACCCCTCCTCTCTCTATTGTCAAAGACCACCCAGTGAAACTCGCTGGCAAGCTGCCACAGTCCAGACAGGGGAGAGCTGGGCCTGACTGCCCAGCCTCTGTCTCAGCAACAGAAGGCTACAGAACGAAAGGCACCTGACCTGGGGCTTCCACCTGGAGCTGACACGGCTTCATGACGGCAGACCACCAACGGTGTCAAGGAAGGGTTGCAGGTGATTGCTTGGGAGGCCTGTACATTGGGAGAGCCATTAGAATCTAACACTTGGCTGTAATGCAGAGGATTTTGAACATCCATTCATAATGACAGAGGTAAACAGCTGTGAATTTCCATCGCTTTATGTGGTCTCACCGGCCAAAGAGGCTGCAGTGCTGCCTGATGCCTTATAAAATCCGCCTCTCGTGGGCACAGGTACATACAAAGGAAGAGCTGCCATAATGCCTTAGGATGACAGTCAGTAGATAGGGAGCAGAAAAGGAGTAAAGTGGTGGTGATGATATGTGAAATAATTAAAAGCAGCCTCTGCTTTCAAAGAAAAGTAGTAAACCCAGAACCCCCCAGTTTTCCTCTCCAATTAACTGTGACCCATACCTACTAAACCTGCTAGGATTATAATGTTAGGTAAGCTCAGACTAGTAAAGGCGCTTGGCTGGGACTTATCTGGAAACATACTGGCAGGGCCAGGGAAGGTGGGGAGGGCTCCCTGCAAGAGTCCAATTCCAGCCCAAGCTGGGGTGGCCCCCAGGGCCAGCCAGTGCCACATACCCTCCTCCTCCTACCTGCAGCTCCCATCCGGTGTGACAGTTATCTCTCAGCAGCCAAGGAGGTTCCTGGGCAACTGGGGTCCAGTAACTTTTATTTGTCACTAAAATAAATGTCCCCTCACGTGCTACTCTGGGAGTGATTTCTGAGCTGAGCAAACCTACTGCAGACAGTAGAAAAGGGCAAATGAAATTAGGTAAGAAGCTGAATTCAGGCATGTGTTTTAAGAATTCTCGGACTAAACCCTGACATGACAAGAAAGAAAAAAAAATTATACATTTCTACTTTTCCCCCTGAAAAGCTATTCATCAACTGGTTTTAGAAAATTGCCTAAGATTCAAATGTCTGAGATTCTGCATTCAATGAAGAGATTCCAGTTTTTAATTTTCCTAAAATTAAAAAACTACTATGAACTTGAAATCTCCTGTCTCAAGAATATTTCAGCCTGTCATCCCGGGAAAAATTACGTTTTCAGGGGGAAAAATAATGCCCACCACAAATAGGTAAAAGAACATTTCAGTACTTTTCAAGAACTAAAAATAAACTTTCAGCCAGTCCCATCTCTGCTTTTAAGACTCAGCCTGAGGTATCGACTCTCCTCTTTCAAAAAGCTTCCCTTAATTGACCCAGATCCAGCACTGTCACACTACAGTTTGTATTGTGGTGCTCTGCCTTTTCCTTCCCTTCAGTAATGGAATTCAGGACAGTGTAGGCTCTGCTACTGGTCCAGGCACACAGCAAGTACTCAGGAAAAGCTGGTGGAAAGAATGCAGGCTACGACCCACACATGCGTCATCACCTTTATCTTGTCCAATGCAGTCCAAACTTATTTTGGAGAAGAATAAACGTTCCTTGGCCATACTTTCTGCTGTTCAGCTCCTTTTGGGTTATATTTTTTATTCAACCCAGCTAACCCTGGCCATATTATGTACTTTTCTGTCACTAACCAGGAGCACTAGTTGAGACTTTCCTCAACATTTCCTCTGACAACCAAATGAAGTTGATTGTACTCTATGGGCTCTGCCCTTTCTCCTGTGATTTCCTCCTACAGCCCAATAATCCTTGTGCCAAATAGCAAAAGCCTTCTTTGAAGAGAAGGCTAGACTCACCATTTGGAAAAGAGAAATGATTTCCTAACTTTATTTCAGAAGGTAAGACTACAAAGAATCTTCTGGTTTTTATGAGATAAACACTGCTGCCCAGACTATCAAATCACAAGGCATTCACTGTAGTATCACTGACAGAGATCTAAACACAGGGCTTTCCTCCCCCCAGTCTGGGCAGGACTTTTCCACAGTAGCCTCAGACTTCAAATCCCAATGTAAATGGTGTGTACCCACCACGCTGAACAGAGTGTAACTCAAGGAAAGGGGGTTCACATGGCTACTCCAGGGCAAGCGGCCACCACAGACTGTAAGAGTCTCTGAATTGAACTAAAGACAACCTGTTCGGTCCAGATGCCACTCAAAGCTGGACCCTTTTAATACAAAAGGATGAGAAACACTGTATCATCAGGTGGCAACAAAAAACATGAAAAAAATGGCTGTTCCAGAGATAGTAGATGGGGCAGAAAACCTCACCTGCTGCTTCTACTTCATTGCTGCTATGCTTGGATGCTGTGGATGTTGACAAGACTTCATGGGTCACGGGTTCCAGGAAGCTTGCTGTGGGATGAAGAAGAAAGAAAAGTGCTATATCTTTTGAACAACAAAACAGAGTTCTGAAGTATTTGCTTTTGGTAAGGTGCATTGCTATAAACCATAGCAATTCCTTATCAACCCATTGTATAAACAAGAGACAGAGAAAAGGCAGTTTTTCTAAAACCATAGGCTTCCTTAAATCTCCAGTTGCCTGGCCCCTTGCTAGAAACGAAATCAACAGTGAATTAAAGACAATGGTTACATTGAAAACAGTCTGTTGATCTTACAAAACCATTACCTTTGCATCTAGCAGCTCATTTTCATCAGTATTTACCCAATACCTCTAAAGAGATGCAGATATAAGTAACTGTATCAGCAGGCCTCATACAGAATAAAGTGGTCTTAGGGTGGTAAGGCAGTAAGCAAGGAATGAACCCAGCAAAGATATAAGGTCACTTACTAGATAGGTCAGGCTGGAACAGAAGGCTTCTACTGAGATATTATCATGAGTTGGGACAGAGCCACTCGTGAAAGGCCTGAGAAATGTGAATTGTAAACTTAAACTGTTTTTAAACTGGGTGGTGACTTTTTGTGGGACTGATGGAGGGTGGGAGGGGTGGTGATAGGTAGTCAGTGGGGAGTCCAGCCATGGGTCAGCAATGGTTGGCAAGGGCTCAAAGAAAATGGTGGTACCAGGAATGGAAAGATGGTGCAGATGGTGGTGGAATAATAAAAGGAAGGGCAGGAGAGACTGGGCAAGATTGGAGAGGGAGAGGGAGTCTAACTCGGCGGTTGTGGACATACAGGGACAGATTAGTTCAGTGGTTTGAGCTGTGTGAATGGAGTCCATAGGCATAGCTAGGGTTCCAACCCAAGCTCTGCAATCCTCAGCGCAGTGCACCTGATATAGATCTTTTAAACTTTCTTGTTCCTCCTCCCCTTCTCTACCCATTATCAACCCTGAGGGTTTCAAGGAGGCAAAAGCCCTAGTTAGGGAGGCTTTTTGTAAGCATAGATTTCTAGACTAAGAAGAAACACCCCTTCCATGCCATCCCCTATCCCGAAATATTTGATTCAGCCTCAAAACTGATGAAAATATTACACACGAAGGCTCCATTGGGAATCACCCTTAGGAATCAGGCCATTTATACCAACAGCAGAGTGGTTGGACATATCTGTTTTCTGTGGGTCTTTGATCAAAAATGTAGAGATGGACAGTGACTGTAATGGGGTTTGTGGGGGGGACTTGGTGAAGGGGGGACCCTAGTAAACATAATGTTCTTCATGTAATTGTAGATTAATGATAACAAAATTAAAAAAATGTAGAGATGCTTCAGGGCAGTGTGATTACAAAAGAGTCTATGCTTTATCAAAACTCTGTGAAAGTAAGTATGTACACGGATGAACAAAAACAAGTTGTGTTAAAGTATGGGAGTGTGGGTAATTTTCAAAAACATGTTATTTAGTAGTAGTAGACACTTGTGCAGTAAATAAAAATTGAGAGGGAGGGTAGTTTGGAGAACTAACCTTTGACTAAGAAAACATTCCCCTGGGATAAGAAAGCTCCCAGCCTTTGGTCTGATGTACTATTGCTGAATTCAAGTAAGGAGTTGACAAGAAGTTCCTTAGGTGAGAGTAAGCAGATTTTTCTAATGCAACAAATCACTTCCTTTCCTCTCCTCCTCCAATTTCCATTCCCTTCCCCTTACTATTATTTCCCAAGATAGCAAAGAAGTTTGGAGTTTGGAGGAAAGAAAGCAAACTCCAAATGTATATTATCTTTTGGTGCCAGGTAATACTTTCTTATTCAGAGGCCAGAAAATACTGGTATCAATAATCTGGTGCACTTAGATCTTCTTTGGCTTCTTCCCACTTGTTTGAAAGACACACAGAGAAACCCTTATTCATTAACTATACCAGTGACTTTGCCAAAATCTGAACCAGACCCCCTAGCGTCCTCTTCTAGGTTCTCTTCTACCCCTTCTTGCTTAAACCCTCAGGTCCTCGGGGAAGTCAGTGCATTCTCTCATGAGTTAAATCTTCTACTTCTTAGGCATGGAGGCCACAGATCAGTTGCTGAAGAGAGCTGGGCACCCTTCAAAGAGCACTTCAAAGAAAGGAAAATCTCCCGACCCATTTGGGGAATGGAGGGAACATAAATCACCCTCTTATCACAAGTCAGCCAACCAATCAAAGCTAAGCAGGTCCACTCTGGTTTCTTTCCCATCCCACTGCCAACCTGCCCTTCCCAGCTATGGTCAAGGGGCTAACCATCCTGGCCTCCCTCAACCTCCTCTCCAGACTAAAGCAAACACCTGTGGTTTGAGCAATTTGTCCTCAGAAAATGTCTCTTGTAATGTCACTCTTCTGTGATCTCTTGAAAGAGGATGAAAGGGACAGTGTCTGATGTCTTCAGTCCTCAGATTTCATAGGTGTAGCTGGCCTCCCGCCTGCTGAAGGGCCAAATTCTGAATAATGCATAGGGGCAGGCAGTGTCAGTGAAGTGACACGATGAGGCAGCTCTCACTTCTTTTTTTTACCTCTTTCCATAAACCCACTCCAAAAACTCATCTAGCAGGAAAACATTCTCTATTTCCATCCTGCCTCCGTCCCACTGATCCCAAGGTGCTTCAAACTTACCATGGGAACCCTTATGGGTTTCAATTATGAGACCATTAAAAAGTGCCAATTGTAAGACCTCAGAAACATTCCTGGGAAACCTGTTGTGCACCTCAAAATGGTCAAACTCTTGCCTCAGATTCACTTCTAAAGTTCAGAAAACAGGTCACCCAGATGAATGAGCACCCCAGCTCCCACTCAGTCCTACTGGATGGTGTTTTAATATTGTCCATGCTGCCCTTGAGGAAATGGAGATTGATTTATTGTCTGTAACCAGAGAGGTGACAAAACCATCACAGAGCTGGGCTTCCTGTTTAGGGCCCAGTCTTGGAATACATCAGAAATGTCTGCGCATTCGAGAATTTGAAAATGACATTCATGCATCTTTGCAAAGTTCTAGGCAACAAAGTACAGTGACATATGAGAGCTGGGTACAGGGCACCTGGAGCTGGCATAAGGGCCTGAACCCAAAACAGACTTTTTACTCTGTCCACTCACAGAGGTAACTCTGGGTCAGAAACTCAGGTGAACCCATTTGAACTTGCTGAGAAGCGGAAGAACACTCCACCACACCCAGAAAGTGCCGGTTTAGGATTGCTGGTGCGGTTTGGGTATTCTTAGCTCCACTGCCACATCTCTGGAGGAACACAACAACTTTCAACCCTGCCACTGCTACCCTCCTCCTCAAAACAAAACTAAACAAATCCCCAGGTCGCCTTCAATTCCTCCAGGCCAGCCTGTCCCCCAGCCATCAAAATTCTGTCACCTGGAAGAGCAAACTAACATTGGGAACCTGAACGTTTGGCACGGCCTTCAAAATCCAGCAGAAAATTCTTCCTGGGTTCCCTAACCCTTCCCACAGCCCCTTCTTACTTGTCCCAGAGAATCATTTCCCTACGTGCTCACAGTTACACCGACAAAAATCCCAGAGCACACCCCGAGGACGATGCTGCGCGCGCGAACACACACGCACACACCCCCTCTCACCGCTGCCCAACTCCACAGACTCCTCCGGGCGTCCGTCTCCAGCCTCGCCTCTTGCACGCCTCCGCTAGGGAAGCTCTTTTGGGGCTGTTTCGCTCCTGGTCCGTTCGGTCCCTCATCTTAGCCAATGCGTTGAGCCCTCACCCACGAGGAGGCCCAATGGGTTGTTGGGCGGCTCTGTGCGTCTGCCGACCCGGTGGTGGGCTTCTCCCCGCCGCCTGACGCGGAGCCGGAGCTGGTGTCAGCCTCCGGGAAGGTTTGGGAAGCTGTCTGGCCCTTCTTCCACCCGAGAAGCTTCCGGGGATGGCTGCCCAGGCTGCAGCCGCAGCGAACGAGAGGTGGCGCCGGGCCCGCTGAGGCTCCGGGGCGCGGCAGTCCCCGCACCCCGTCGCCCGCCCCGCCGCCCTTCCCGGTCCCCGCGCCCCGCGCGCTCGCCGACCCCCGAGCGCTCAGACCCGCTGCGCCACCGGCGCGTCCCCACCAGTCACCCGCCGGCGCTGCCTTGGCTTCGTCCGGCCTGCGGCCGCCTCCTGCCCCCCTAACAAATAAACACAACTTTCTGCGAAAAGAAAACAAACTCCAGCGACATGACTCACCTCTGGTGCAGCGGCTCCTGGGAAGAACGAGCCCGGGGCCACGGGCCAGCGCGGTGGCCACGCAGAGAGCCACGCGCACCGCGCCGCACGGACCCGCAGCCCGCACAGTGACACCCGGACACACGGATCGGGAGAGCGGCCGCGGCGGGAGCAACAAAGGGGCCGGGACCGAGGAGTTGCCGGCCGCGGAGGGAGGCGCGTGCGGGCGCGTGTGGCCGCGGCGGGCTGGGCGCGCGTGTCTTTAAGTGTGAAAGTGCGTGTGCGCGCGCGGCAGCTGACACCGGCGGCCCGGGGCTCACGGTCCCCGCGGCAGGAAGCGGGGACCACGGCGGCAGCGGGAGGACAAGGCAGGGGACGCCGCGCCCAGCGCACCCGGTCCCTCCATATGGAAGACGCTCTTTTGGATGAGTGAACTCCCAAACAATTCCTTCTTTTGCTTCTCTTGCCTAGGAGCCTCCCATTGCCGCGCGAGGCAGCGGGGGAGGCGGGCAGGAGGGGGAGGAGCAAAACGGAGCCAGAAAAAGTCTTGGGAAGGAAAGGAAACTGGAAGGAAAAAAAAAACAGCTCCCCAAATGCAGTTTTAACACGCGTTTCTTTCTGTTGCGCCGTGATCCCGCGCTCAGCTCCCACCTTCTTACTTCCCCATCCCAGAATTAACCTCTGCCCTTCTCCCACTCCACTGGGCTCCCCTGAATCCCATTTTCCTCCTTAGATTCTCATCAGACCCTTGCTCTCATGCACTCACTGCCCTTCCCTCCTCTCCTCTCCCCCTATCTCTTCTTCCCAAGACTTTTCCTGACACCGCTCCCCCCGCAACAGTATGCTCCATTCTGTAAACTATTGGATATATCATTCAAATAAAATTTTATGTTGTTAAATGCACTCCCTACTTACCCACCAACACCCCCCACCCCCCCAAAAAAAACATGGGACAGCGGCTGTCGAAAAAATAAATGGGTCTGGGGGAGCCCCAACGCTACCTACCGCTGCCCACTAGGTGGGGAGGCGGCGAGGGTTTCCCAGCGCCCTGACCTGACCTCCATTCAGCATCCCAGGATGGAGGAGGGCGAAGGATGAGAGGGCAGGGCCAGGGAGGGGCAGACGCCACAGAGAAGTTCGCTACCTCCGTGGTGTATGTGTGGTGTTAAACTCTCCCCTTAGTGTTGGGCAGAAAACAGTCACAATAGTGGTTCTCAAACTTGAGTTGCAGCAGAACCCCTGGAGTCTCATTAAACAGTTTGCTGGGCCCACCCTCAATTTCTGAGCCAGGGTCTGGGGTGGACCAATAATCTGTGTTCCAAGGAAGTTCCCAGGGGACACTGAGGCTGGGTCAAGGCAGTATTTGATAAAACACTTTCCAAGGTACTGAGAAGTCAAAATACCTGCCGAGTTGGTGGCAAAGTGGATCCCCTTCCTGTTCTTCAGGAATGAAACAGATGGCAAAGTCTCATCCAGTGCACACCCTTATGTGGCAGCTGAGGAAAACAAGACCCAGACGAGCTGACCTGTTTGTTCAAACTGCACCTCAAGCTTGTGCCAAGTGAGAAGGAAGCTGTGCTGGGAGTTGGTCAGGCAGGGCAAGACAGGGCAAACGAAGGTGCGGCCTCACCTCTAAGGCAGGTAGTTGTACTGGGAGTCCATAAGCCACAATGTGACTTGGAGAATGTCACTGAACATTTCTGGGCCTCAATTTTCTCATCAGTAAAAATACCCACTTTTCACTGAGTATACAATTTTAATTGAATCTCAATCAAAAGTTTAAAATATAAACATTATTTTAAAACGTATTTATAAATGTATTTTTATTATACTGTTTTTTTTTTCTGATGCATTTGGTAATTCAGGCATGAACCGGTGCCTTATTAATTTATCTAATACTTTCAGCTCTGCATGCCTGGATCCTTCAGCCTGTCCCTGTAGCAAAAGGGATAAAGTGAACCATCCATTTCAGCGAGAAGCTGAAGAAGACTACGAGCCCCATCTTTGAACTATGTACCTATATTCTTTCCTCTCCTTTCTTCTCCAATTCTCTCTCTACTTTCCTTCTTGTTTGATCTCCAGCATTCTCTAAGACCTATTTTTCTCCCCATTCGATGACCACGTTAGGCTTTCCCTTTCTTATGGTCTTCTTTCTGAGGCACAATTCAGGACGACTAGACCTGGGGTCCACCCTGAGTTCAGCACTCCTAAGTCCCCAGGGAAGAGTCAGCCAGCCTTCCCAGAGCCCTGGGAGCGGTGTCGTCCTCTGTTTTTCAAAGATGACTCCAAGTACCACTCCCACTGGCAATGTGTGATTCCCAAGGGAGCACAGCACATGAAGTTCTCAGATTGATTCTTTATATTCCTATATATACTTCTCATGGCTCAACATCTCAAAGATGACCCTTACTCATTCACACTGTTTTTTGCCTAGGACTTTCTCCTAGGCCTCTCCATTCCCTCCATTCTGGCCTTGGGTCTCACCTGGGCTCTAAGCTAGTGAGTCAGAGCACAACAGAAAACAGAAAATCTCAGTTCTTACCAATCCTGTTTAGTCAGGAGAGAGACCCATAGCCTTGTGCTTCCCTCCATCCCAGGATGTTCACATGGTTGCTCATCTTTCCCAGAGTTTAGGCAGAAGGCAGATCACAGCTTAATTGAGAGGGCTTAATTCAAGCATACTGTTGGCACCTCAGATGTGTTTATTGTTTTTATGGCTCTTTGTATTAACATAATTGTTAATTGTGTTTAGTATTATTACTCCTGTATGAACACTGTATCTCTGAACTCTCCCCCTTTGTCTAGAGCAGGTTCCTTGCCTAATTCTTCCCTCCCATGTTAGTTTCTCCACCCTGACCTTCCCCATCCCACTCTAGCCCCCAGTCACTCAAAACAGATAGAGTCTGGGCCTGTGGTGAAGTGCTTTCTGATACCCTCCACTCCGTTCATGGTGATTTCCTATGGGCATCTTGCTTTCTGGGGGCTTTCTGGGCCCCCATTAAAAAGGAAGCATTTAGCATGAAAGTGATCACCACATTTATTGTGGTGCGGTGGTGGGATGGGGGGCTAGGGGACGGCAGGCAGCAACTGCAGGTCTATATAAGCCACTATATTGCTGAACCAAGCAGAGTGAACTGGAAGGAATCCCAGTGAGTGACATGAAGAGAGGGACATTCCCTCCTCAGTGTGCCTCAGACACTCTCCCGATAGCATATAAACAGGAACTCCTCGGTCAAGAAGGATATCTGGAAAGGATTGTGCTGAGAAAATTACTAAGATGTAGACATGAGAAATAGGGACTTGATAATTTTCCCTCTATTTTAATATAATCTGTTTTCCAGATTATAAATGTGTTCATTGAAGAAAATTTAGAAAATACAGAAAAGCACAAAGAAGGGGGGAATCATCTTAAACTCACTGCCCAGGGATGACACTGTTAACAGAGGTGTTTTTTCTAGGATTTCTTCTCTCTTTTTGTTTCACATAATACAAATACATAGTTTGTCTACACTAAGTAAATGATTCTAACTTAGTAGAATTGGAAGATATTTAAAAGGGCAACACAAATGAATACCTTTATTTGGTATTTCATATTAAATTTTTTCTCATGCATTTGGTAATTTAGGCAGGAGCAAGTTTCTTCACTGATTTATCCTTTGTCTTTTGCAAAACTGTGTTCATTATATATACAAGTTGCTATCCTACTTTTTTAAATGTAACATTCTAATGTGATCATTTCCTCCAAGTCATTAAATCTTCTCCAAAGTTGAACTTTAACAGCTGTGTACTGTTCCATCAAAAAGAGAGATGGTTATTTATTTTACCATTCTCCTATTGTCACATATTTAGATTGTTTTCATTTTTATTATGATCATGCATCACAGTTGACTAAACATTGTGTCCTAAATCTTTATTTATAATTCTGATTGTTTCCTAAGGGTGAATTCCTAGGAGTTGGAGTTTTAGATCAACAGATACAACATTTTAAAGACTTTTGGTTGGTATCAGAAAATAGTCTTCTATGGCTCCAAAGTACATTTTCATCTCTTGGATCTCAGCAACAATGAGATCATCAAATACAAGGCTTTAAGTGGAGACTTGATTGAATTATCCAGTTTGGATCACTACACTGACCAGATAAAGAAAAGAACTGCCAAATATTCACTGCGGTGGAGACAGTGCTTACGAGGGAAGAGCTAATAAATAATTGCTTACTATGTGAGCTCAATTGTATGTATGATCTTATTTAACCTTTCCAACAACCCTTTGAGATATAAGCTAGTATTTATTGAGCAATTACCTCTCATAGCCTCTGTGCTAGATTCTGTGTATACATTCGATCTTGAATCCCAACAACCTTTTGATGTGGGTTTGATTATCTCCATTTACGTTTGGTGGTACTAATTTCAGAACCTGAGGTTTTTCCAATGCAACACACTTTTTCACAAGTTACAGGTAGGTTACTTGGTGGGGTAAGAAAGACATTTAGAAGATGTTTGAATTTTGCTAAGCCATTAAGGAATCTTTCATGGGCTTCCAAATGACTGTTTTTCAAAAGGGCATCTAAGTGGATTCAAAGAGCTAGGGTAACTTACTAATTGTAATTAATAGAAGAGTCCCAGGATTGTACACCTTAAGAGAATGCAGTTTTGATGCATGAGTGAAGATTAAAGGTTAGAGACTAAAATTTACAGTACTAACAGTAATTAGCAAATTGGCTTTTGTACAAATTCCTATTCTCAAAGCTACAGTTTGAATAGAGATTTTTAAATCTTGATCAGAAGTGATGGAAATAAAATGTGAATCCAACTTCCCAGTTTCAAATTTTAGCTGTTGGATGTATAAAGTTTTTATTTATTAAGG